CATTGCCTGTTCTGCTCGCATCGTCTTAGTTAGGTTCTGTGGCAGCCTTTGTGCCAAGAGCTTTTCTGACCAGAAAAGCCCTTGAGAGATCATTAAGCCTCATTTCCCAGTCCTAGGTGACTAGTAACATGAAAGCCCAAAGTATTTTTAAAGAGCAACTTCCCTTTGCCCCCAGTAATTATTCTGCCCTCCAAGAAGCCTCTGCTGCTTTCCTCCTCACCTGCAAGTGGAGCCCCTGTCCTGAGGAGGAATTGACAGTCACCCTGCTCCCCTTGGGGCTGGCTACTCACTGGATCTTTGAGCACAGCCCTCCACTCCACAGGAGCTCGTTGCTCACCCTGCAGTCGTGTCTACCTTCTCCTCCGTGCCTCCAAGGCCTCCATTCTGCCTGTGGGCACTTACATCCCTGAGAAGTTTGTTTCAAGGCTGTGTGTTTCAAGGCTGACATGATGCCTTTTCTTTATATCATGGATGTCGTGCTCCTTACAGAAGACTCCCTCGGCTTGTTCCTTTCACAGGCCTGAATTTCAGCAGATAAGGCTGTGTCCTCTGAAATAGCTATATTTAGCAAATTTTGTGCAAGATAGCAACCTCGTAGTGATTATGGGGAGACAGATCGAGACAAGTGTGGGAGACTCTCAAATATCTCCCCGTACAGTGAGGGAAACAGAGGTCTCTGAGAGCCAGTGCGGAGGCATCGAGATGAGGACGCAGGAAGAAGGCCATCCTGCCTGCCAGGAGGCCTGGGAAGCCTCCCTAAAAATGCCCTTCACACAGAGTTTCAGAGGGTGGAGGGGCTCACTTCACACAGATGCTTTATGGCCCAACTTTAATGCCTTCAAATCCCCACAAGCTAGCTAGCTTTTCCGCACGTAGAACCAGCACAGTGCTGCTTGTTGTAGTATATTTTGTTCATCATTTGACAGTCACTGAGGGCTACCAAACATAATTGTTTGATCCTATTTTAATTTACTTGCTGAAAATGAATATAATAATTAAACTTTGACGCTATCTAAGGAAAGTATTCTACGGTAGAATTAATAGTTACGCCTTGGCTTATAGTTGTGCCATGCACAATGCCTTTCCCAGCAGACGTGTCTCAGCTTCAACTATGAGTGAGCAGGGTGTTGGAAGGGGAACGATGTGGGGTGCCCCCCACAGGCTGCTTCACTCTTCCACCCCGTCCCCACCCTTCTACTGACCCACGCACAAACCATTTCCACAGAGAACACGAACACCACTTCAGACCTCCACCCAGCACATCCAATCACAATGGAAGTGCCCACTGTTGTAAATCTCTCTTTTCTCATTCCTTCTTGGGAAAATGCACTTGGAGGTCAGGGAATCCAGGTCCTCAGAAAAAGGATATTCCCATACTGGTCATTTTGCCTTTGAAAATGAGAAACAAAAGGCCAAGTCTGGTAACAGGATTTCCAATGCTTGAAGCTAGTCAGGACTATAATGTGAGACTGGCTCAAAAAAAAAAAAAGAAAGAAAGAAAGAAAAAGGAAGCAAAGAAAACAGACTAAGCCAGGCACTGGTAGCTGGTTTCTCAGTAGGCTGAGATCTGAGGATAACAGTTTGAAGCCAGCCCCAACAGAAGAGTCTCTAAGACTTTTATTTTTTTTTTTTTTTTGAACTCTAGGCTTGGGCCCTAGCCCTGCATTCTTCAGGTCAAGGCGAGCACTCTACTGCTTGAGCCACATCACCACTTCCGGTTTTCTAGTGGTTAATTGGAGATAAGAGTCTCACGGACTTTTCTGCCTGGGGTTGGCTTTGAACCATGATCCTCAGATCTCAGCCTCTTCAGTAGCTAGGATTACAGGCATGAGCCACCAGCACCCGGCTGTAAGACTCTTATCTCCAGTGAACTATCAAAAAATAAAAGCCAGAAGTGGAGCTGTGGCTCAAGTGGTAGAGTGCTATCCTGAGGAAAAGAGGCTCAGGGACAATACCCAGGCCCTGAGTTCAAGCCACACGACCAACACAAATCTTCCTTGCTACTAGAGCCAGGGATTTATCCAGCATGCCCCCAAAAAATTAGCAATTTATGTGTAACAGCCACTGTACTAGGCACCATTTTTAGACCTTAGAACATTGGGCACCATCTAAGCCATTCCTCTTTGGCTTCTGTAGTGTCGTCTGTGGCCATCTTCCAACCCCATTTCAAAAGGTTCCTTCACTGGCTCTAAAAAAAATTAAGCTTCCCATTGCAACAATGAGATGTACAAAACATTATGTCGAAAAATGAACTTTACAACTTTGGCCAGGGTGGCGGGGGGTGTGGGGGGGATGGATGGGGGGTGGGGAGTGCTGGGGTCGGGGCGGGGGGAGATGGGAAGGGATGGGAAGGGGAAACAAAGGAGGAGGCAACAATGCTTGATAAGAAATGTACTCATACCTTGCCCATGTAATTGTAACCCCTCTGTACGGTATTTTCACAATTAAAAAAAAAAAAAGCTTCCTCTAGGCATTCACACACAATGAGACCAAAGGAGGACAGTCTTCAGGAGATGAACACAAAGGCATAATGCCCATGCGCATCTGATCACACAATATAATATTTATTGAAATGAACTCCAGGAAATGGAAACAGAGATGTTTTCTTCGTTGCCATTTCATTTTTTCTTTTGGTCTTGTTTATCTGCCTTTGGGAATGTAAGGGGGGGCACAGAAATGGAGGGACAAAGGGTGAACAAATACAGTAGTGGTCCTCACTAAACGCTGTGTTGAAAATGAACTGTATGGCTTGTAGGGGGGGAGGAAGGGAAAAGCTGGGAAAGAACGAGGGAGTAGGTGACACTGTCCAAAAATCAATATACTTATCACCTTTATAATAACAGTAAATACAACTTTTAAAGAAAAATACAGTTCTTCTACATGAGACAATGTGAAAGAAAGAAAGGAAGGAAGGAAGGAAGGAAGGAAAGAAGAACCTTCTGCTGAGATGTGATTCTTAGTTCTAGTCTTGTTTTTTCTAAGCCATTTTGCCTGTTTCCATCTCCTCACCTACCTCTTTAGGCAGATGGATTTCCAGATCAGCTCCTCATGTCTGATTTGCCTGGTTATCGCCCTCAGCATCTGCAAAAGTACCTCTATTATCTCTGTGCAAAAGCATGATTCCTTCAGTATTCCTGTCTCAACTAATGGCTTCCTCGTCTTCCTAGTGGGTTAATCAACAGATCCTCATCAGTATGGAGCCTCCTCCCTGTGCGCTCCATCACCTCTGTGTCAATGCAGCTTAGGTGCTTTCTGGAAACAGCTTCCTGCCTCCCTGCATCTATCTAGCTTCCATCCTCCATCCAGCCACCAGAACTATCTTTTTGCTGCCTCACTCCCTAATTAAGCATCCAGTGGGTCCCATTTTGGCAGAGGCAGTGACAACTCCAAACATACTATGTCACGCTCCTTCCCCACCAGTTACCTCCACCCTCCACAGTATTTCTCACTTATAACATGCTGGAGCGTGGTGAGGGGTCTGCTGCTAAATGCCCTTTTTTCCCCTCTCTTACCACTTGGAAAATTCATATTCGTCACCCTAAGCAGTCAATATTGATTGGTTGAATGAATGAATGAAGACTTGCCCAGTCTTCTTAGGCAAGGTGCCACCTTTCCTGCTTATTGCTCCAGACGCATTCTCGTCATATTCCTGTTGTTGCATCATGGCCGTTCTTCATGCTCCACCAGCCAAGAATGGCGTTAATGTGTCCATTCTTCTTCTCCCCTCACTGCCCTGGGCTCATGGTGCCCCAGCCCTCCTCTCCTGTTGAACCCAGTGGCAGGTTCATCAGCCTCAACACACCTCTCACTCAGGCAGCCATTGCCAGCAGTGACACTTGCACACAATATGGCATCCTTAAAATGGACTCAGCTTTTCCAGTGAGTACAGTAAGCAACCCAAAATATCCACTCAATTGCTGAACCAATAACAAATGGGATCTTTCTTAATACTAAATAAAATATTGATATTTTCCTTTTGATGTTATCTGTGTATTGTTTCATGTTATTGAAAGACCTCTCCATGAGAGAGTATTCATGTGGCAAGATATGAGCAAGGTGATTTGTTAAAACCCATTGTTATGCTTTACAAAGAGTTCTTCACACATAATTCAGTGGACCAGACTATTGTCTCTGCTTCCACGGACAATATTCTCCTTACAGAATTCAGCCACTGCTTTGCCTTAAAACTTGGATACTGCATGTTATTTCTTCTAGCTTTGCCTTTGATTTGTCTTGCACACTTATAAGTAGTCATTGAGAGAATCATTAAGGATATCAAAGTATGTAATCTTGATTCCATTTTCATAATATCTCTCTTCAGCAACTGCAAAAGAAAATTGGTGAGTCTAGGTAATTTTGAAACTAGTTTAAAAACATTTCAAGAGAGCTTCTTGTTCCCATACTGTGTGGCACAATAAATATCAAATACTGCTCTTAGTAAATCCCTTTGTTTCCAGGACAGGTATGAGAGCTCTCAAAAAGATGCTGGTATAAAAATGATCAGAACAATGTGAAATACCTTTCCTAGGGAGGTCAAGCGAAAGATTCTAATAGAATTGTCATTATTGAGTTCAGTGTGATTCACTCACCAGTTAAATACTTTATCTAATTCTGGCACCTTTCAGAACTAAAAGTGAAACGTTGGATAATATAAATGGAGAGATAAGAAAGTTCTTTTTTCCTGATTCCTCTAATACACATAAGACAGCTGGATGCAGAAAGCTTAAAGCAGAAGATTCTTGTGTGTCAGTTCTGAGACTGTGCAATGCAGTAAACAGAATGAAAAGGAAAGGCGAAATCTGGGGAAGCCTGCAGCAGTTTCTAAAATAACAGTGTCACTGTATCTGCATCTATCTGCAGAGCCTATTCTCTTTGTGACATCTTTAGTTTTTCATGAATTTATGCTGTTGGTGAATTATTGAAATGGTTTCCTCTAGCTCACCTTTTTATGTTTTCTCTCCTATTGTGTTCTCACCTGTCTTGTTTGGAAAATCCATCAGGCTAACTGTCAGGTAAGTTCTTCTTGGTATCTAATGTGATTATTAAGAATACTCATGGAGGAAAATGAAATAAACAGACTGTTGGTCACTGATGATGAATGATGAAAATAAACAAAAAGGGCACAGACTCAATTACAGAGAAACTTCTTTGCAGCTGCATAAAACTGAAGTAGCTACAAACCCTAAGCACGTTAAACTGGCATGAACATCTATCATAAGCACTTAGCCTAAGGGAATATAGCAGCTCTGCCTGATAAAGTAGGTTACCTGGACTGTGTTGCTGTGGCTCATGATACAGATGGCTCCTGGAGGGCTTAGCTGGCATGGGACAGTATTATGAACTATGGAGTCACATGTGAGTCTGCTATAAATTTGCTATCAGCTTCCACGGATTTGACCAGCTTTGTGAAAAACTCACAAGCTGGGCGCCAGTAGCTCATGCCTATAATCCTAGCTACTCAAGAGTCTGAGATCCAGAGGATCAAAATGTGAGGGCAGCATAAGCAGAAAAGTCATTGGAAACTCCATTTCCAATTAACCAGAAAGAAACTCGGGCAACAGCCTGAGTTCAATCCCCAGTACTGAAAAAAGAATTTTTTTTAAGGATTTGTTTTAAATCCCTGTTTTAAGCCCCTATCTAAACAGCTCCTGTGCCTTGAAGAATGAGGGTGACTGGGGGGAAAGGGGCCGCTTGGCACATATTTTGATCATGTACAGTACATCAATGGAGTTAAATATAATGTGCTCGACCCATGTCAGAAGAATGCATACAGAATCATTGTCTCTCCTATGTCTGAGAGAAGGACGCTTTTCCACCCACAGGAAGCAGCTGGCCAATGACCACACTGCTTAATCCTCAAGTGTAAGACATGGACTTTAAAAGTCCAAAACATAGCTAATCCCAAGAGAGACAAACACTTAAATTAGAGTATTTGAGCTTTGTGTATGTGTGTGTGTGTGTGTGTGTGTGTTAGCTTGTGTTCATTTTTATCTTTCAAGAAGAAAGATTATGTTCTTTAGTTGCCATGCAACACATCCTGCTCTAACAGCTTTCTAATTTTAATTTCAGAAGTCTACAGAGCAAATGAAGAAGGTCCCTACTATTATTCTTTCAGTCTCATATAAAGGAGTCAAGTTTATTGATGCAACAAATAAGGTAGGTGTCACAGCTCTAGTTTAAACACCACATACCATCCTGAGTGTGTGATCTAAAAATCTTAGTATTCCCATTTTAATCACTCTCCATAATGGAGAGAGAGAGAGAGAGAAGAGAGAGAGAGAGAGAGAGAGAGAGAGAGAGAGAGAGAGAGAGAGAGAGAGAGAGAGAGACTGGAACTAGAATTGCTGTACATATTTTGCTCTTTTTCATGATGATTCTCTAATAGACTCCACCTACTTATCTGGCAGGTTCTCTTGGATCTAAAGAACATTAAAGCAGTTAAAAAAAATCAGTTACAGAAGTTAGAGGCTAGATGAAGAACTAGAACATTTGCCTTTGCATACCTCTAGAGATCCGGGTACCTTTCATTCCTTTCATACCTGTGAAGAACACCTGACCTGAGGAGCAGAGCTTCTGACTTTCCTTATTCTGTGACTGCCATAATTCCCAACTACCGAGATGTTAAGAGAGCTTCAGCTGTTGATTTTCTTGGGGATCACAATCAGAAAAGCAGCTCAGGCCCTACGTGTCATGCTCACCATGTGAACTGGTCACAGCTCTGAGGTCAAACGTGGGAAACTGGGTTGAGTTTTGTCAAGACCACAAAAATCCTCACTAGAAAGCTTGAGTATAACCACCGTCACCATCCATAAACTCCAAGTTAACTGCTCTTCCTCACAGAGCTCTTAAAGGTCTGTGTGTTTTATTTCCCTAATCCCTTCAGCTAAAAGAGAAATGAGGTGCTTGCCAATAGTGAATGGCATTTGTTTTCCATACTGCCTTTTGTGAGCTCCCACCTAAACTCCCTCTCCAACTCCATTTTGGAGGAAAGTCATAAAGGAATGGTGAAGCTAATCAGCAGTAAGTTAGGGCCAAAGCAACGAGATGTAAATATCAGAGAAAGTCACATGCACAGTGACTCTTTGGTGTCTATAATAAACCTGGACATCTGAGACAACCAATTAGAAGTTTTTTTAATTGGATTTCTGAAAAATCATTGCATCTTTAGCAAGGTAAGCCTCAGCTCCCCAAATCTTCTTTGGAAAACAATCTCCCAGTTTTAGAAAAAATTCTGAAACGTAGGCAGAAAGCTTCTAGCATGGCATTAGATACAGTTGACAATAGCCACAGGATATTCAGGCTAGATGCCTTATCTGCAGTGGTGACTTGAGCTGCGCTGTGTTGTTGATACTTAGTTTTGTCAGATTGCAATTGCAGAGACTCCCATTAGAACAATTTCAATTGAGTTGTTTTTCTGTTTCTTGCAGACAACTGTAGTCCTGGTACATAAAATCACCTTATCCTTAAATTATAGTCAGTTGTTTAAAAAGTTCTAAAACTTTATGAAGCATTCATTGGTATCTGTTGTATCTAAATGTAACCAAAGGTCTGACACTTGAATTTTTGTCTCCTAATGTAGAGCAACTTTTTCTATCCTATTTGCATTTGAAAAACTTGACAAGCAACCTATTTTCAGGGGATGAGTTTGACACTGTCTGGCTGAGTTGGACTCTAATTATTTCTGAACAAGGGGTATTTGTGCTGGGACAGTTCCAAAACCTTCAGGGCCATTTTCATCATACAGTAGTTGTATGACTGGGGGCAGATGCATCAGTAAATCCTCTCTCTCCCACCTGCACCATCAGAGCATGGTGTCGACACACAAAGATTAGAAATCCATTCTCCTGTATCTCTAGGAGTATTTCTGATTCAATTCACCGGTGGTAAGATGACTATCCGTAGACCTCTGCTGCTCACCAGTCATATTCTTGGGAAGTATCAGCACAATAATATCTATGGAAGACTTTGTTTCCCCAGTAGCTTCGAACCACAGTCCTCAGTTCTCAGCCTCTGGAGTAGCTGAAGGTTGCATATGGGCCACTGATACCTGGTGAATTTCATATAGCTAAAGGCACCGAGTAAAGCAAGCCAGCATCTTTTTCTGATCATGCAGTATAGTCTCAACATAGGTTCAGGATCTAGAGCAAAAGCAAAGTGCGTAGCATAGGATGGTTGCAAGCAGCGCCATACTGTCAGTGACTACACAGCAACATAGTTGGCTCTTTCATGACCTAAGGGGCACTCACTTGGACTAGCCATGTCAGCAATCTTCCCCAGTAGGACACTGAAGAGAGAGATTAGATGCCTTGGGCAAAAGCCTGGTAGTTACTTACTGTTTGGAAAGTCAAAGAGAAAAGATTGTATTTAGAAGGCTAAAAAAAAAAAAGTGATTGGTGTTGCATGTGTGGGATTGAACTGTAGAAGGTTGAGAAACCTGAGAACCAGCCAGAGCTGAGGAACTGGCTTTGAAGGTGTGAAGAATCTGCAGGGATGGGGCAGACTGATGGACTCCACTGCTGCTTCCTGATTTTGCCTTTGGAAAATTTCCCCCGTTGGGCAGTGTTGTCTTGCTGGGCCACTTTGGTCTGAATTTGGATTTGTGAATTTGAATGTGTCTGGATTTGTGAAGTAGACATGAATTTAAAGGTATTATTGCCACTTCATGTACCAGTGGCCACTAATCCCGCACTAAGGTACAACCAAACAGACACCTTCCTATTGATAGTCAGTGTTTATTCTCCAACACTGTTCTCCTAATGTATGTTCCCTCAACCTCCCTGGAAAAAATGAAGGTAACTGTCTAATCTGCATGCAGGACATAAGGCCTCAGACGTCCCTTGACTGAGTGCTGCCTACGGACACACCGCCTGCTGGTCATGGAGAAGGACTAAAACTTGATTTCCCCACTCCTGAACCTCATGCTTTTCCTATTGCTGCACAGCTACCTTCCACCAATTAAAGTACAAGGGATAATTAATTATGTGTTAATTACTCTTCCCTTCCTATTAGCCCCCATTACACTGTGAGAAAGATGAACTCTCCAGCGAAGCATTTCTTCCCTTTCATTCTCATAAATAAATAGGTCTGGCTGAGTTCATGGGGAAGGGTTAGAGCCTTGTTAGAAACACATAAATGTACTGCCTAGCAACTTAGGAAACGAATCACTAACCCTGATTTAAAAAGGAAGAAGCAGAAAACAATCTTGAATTTAAAATGGAATTTGGCTTAGATTTAGTCTGAAAATGTTTTAGAGGAATCACATCGGATTTCTCTCGATCCTTTGGCCAGAGGTATGGATTTAGCCTGGAGGGCCGTGATGGTGTGGTGACAGGCCTTTCTTCAGATCTACAGGGTCTTCCGAAGGTGACCTAGTTCCCACATCTAGTAATGACTGTGCCTCCTTGTGCTGACCTTCTCAGCCTTCCAGCTGGCTAAATTAGGAACAGTACAGCCCAGGGTTTGGTTGGTTTTGTTTTGTTGGGTATTTTTGTGGGGGGGCGGGGGGGGGGGGAGTGAGGGATGTTGAGTTTTTGTTGTTTTCAAATGCAGGCTTCAAACATGGCTTATGCTGTTTTCTAGGCATCAAATAATTTAGAACATTAACTGAAACAAATGCCCACTGTTTTTTCTAAGCAGCTCTGAGGTAGTAAAGACCAATTTCGGTATATGTGCTGTGGTCTTCAGCCCAAAGTGGCCCACTGAGGGAAATCCAAAGTAAAATCAGGAAGCAGTAATAGAGTTTATTAGTCTGCTCCATTCCTCCATCTCCAGTTAGCCCTCATCCAGGGCTCCTGCCCTGGCTCTGGGACTCTCTCTGGAGAGATGGATGCACTCTCTCCCTGAGGAGAAGCCTGGCCTGGGGAGGAAGTCTTGAGAAATGCCCTAAATGGTGGCGCACAGATGGAAAGATTCAGTGAGGGGCAAGTTTCTAGGCTTCGTTACTATGTAATCTCTTTCCTTCTTAGAACCATCATATTCATTGGCCAGATCATACAATGCTTTCTTGCCCCTGCCAGGCTACCGTCTTAGCTGTTTCTCAACAAGAAGGGTAGCAGTCAGGCAAAAATCCCTCCCTGTTGAAAGGTACCAAGATGCCAAACTGTCTATCCCAAAGGAACAGTAGGATGAGCCTCTCCCCAATCCTTCTTTTGTGCCTTTGTAAAGTTGTTTTCTCCCTAGAACATGCTGAGAATGAAAGGTTAATCACATACAAAGAGTCTTAATTTTAAACCGAGAGGCAACTTGTAACTTCACATGGTGGCACCTTTTAATTTATGGAGGAGACTTGAGTTGATGGTTGGCTGGAGAGGAAAGAATGCTATCCTCCTGGATTCTTCACCAAGGAGGAAGCCAGCCAGCCCGTCTCCAGGTGCAGCTGCAGAGACCTTGGCCTTGGAGCTGTATGAGAGGTAGAGAACTGGCTTCACCGTCCCACACTGGTAGACAAGACAGGGCAAGTCAGTGTTTCCACAGTGAAGTCCCACATGATAGAGCACACATTCTAGCATTGGTTTACATTCTCTCCTTCCTGAATACAGCTTTTATTAGCCAGCTTTTCTCCTAGCTTAGACTGTGAGAAGAATAGGAATAACCATCTCTGCAGGAGGCTGGTTTTTAAATTCTGGAGCATCACAGAAGACAAGCTTCAGTGCGCTATTAAAAGCCAGCCCTGTAGCTGAGGGCACAGCTTGGTGGTAGAATGCTAAAGATCAGACTTGCCTTACATACATGAGGTCCCAGGTTAAATCCAAAGCACCGTAAAACAATTAATTAGTTTATTAATTAATTTTTTTAAAAAAACAGCCTGGGCTCCTAAGAGTAAAGGAGAAAGGGTCTCCAGAAAGTTCTGGAGAAGACAAGGAAAGAAAGGAAAACTTCAAAGACCCATTTTACCTTTTTGGCTTAAAGCCAGGATACCGCCACACACCAGTGCATTCATGAAGAGTAGTGTCAGGTGAACTGGCACCGTCCAGGAATGAAATACACATTCAGCCGGGCGCTGGTGGCTCACACCTGTAATCCTAGCTACTCAGGAGGCTGAGATCTGAGGATCGTGGTTCAAAGCCAGCGCGGGCAGGAGAGACCGTGAGACTCTTATCTCCAATAAACCACCAGAAAACCGGAAGTGGCGCTGTAGCTCAAGTGGTAGAGCGCTCGCCTTGAGCTGAAGAGCTGAGGGACAGTGCCCAGGCCCAGAGTTCAAGCCCCATGACCGACCAAAAAAAAAAAAAAAAGAAATACACATTCAGATCACCAGCATGTGTCACCCTAACCATTCCCCCAAGAAGTTGATCCACCCTATGCAGACAAAGGATCCACAAAATTCAAAGTGCCAGTTTAGTAAAGTTGGAGGCAGTGCTCCTTACCTTTACCTATGACATCGATCTTCAAGAGATGAGACCAACTCCACCCACACTTCCCAGGGTCTTAGCAGCCCCCACCCAATGATGCAACTCTCCCACACCTGTGGGCATTGCACCTTTAAAGATCTACTCAGAGAATAAAATTCCTTTTTAAGATGCACGATTTCCTATTTTAGCTTCCTACTTGAGGACATGCTGCCCAAATGCCAGAATAGGACCGTGGCCTTTATTTTGAAATTGTCTTGCAGTAGAAGAATGTTACTTGTTTGTGGAATTCCAATTTCAGTTTGAGTTATTTTTGACAGAGTGGCTGCATGTAATGTCAGCGTACAAGGCCACAGTGAAGAATGTCTTAACTTAATTTTCTTTTATGTGTTAATTCTGTAATTGCTTCACAAATACACAACTCTGTAGAGTAAATGATGTGAAGTGCTTGCTGGGGGTTGCTGGTAGGGAAGGACATTTTGTAAGCATTTTTAGGCATTGATGGGTAGACATGGCAAACTTTATTGCCAACAGGTTCTTTAAGACTTGCAGTTAACAGTAATTAGGTAACAAAAACATTGAGGGGTTTAGATCTATGACAGCTGCAAAAAAAAACCGTAAGTGGGCTAGTATAAGATAAAAAAGATTGCACTCTTATTGAACTTTTTTCTTTTTAAATATAATTATGAGCCGGGTGCCAGTGGCTCACGCCTGTAATCCTAGCTACTCAGGAGACTGAGATCTGAGGATCACAGTTCAAAGCAAGTCTGGACAGAAAAGTCCGTGTAAACCACCAGAAAACCGGAAGTGGTGCTATGGCTCACGTGGTAGAGCGCTTGCCTTGAGCTGAAGAGCACAGGGACAGCGTTCAGGCCCAGAGTTCAAGCCCCACAACTGACAAAAAATATGTGTGTGTGTGTGTGTGTGTGTGTGTGTGTGTGTGTGTGTGTGTGTGTACACATATATATATAACTAAGTATCAAAACAAGTTTCTAAAATTATATTAAGCAAAGTAAGGCAGACCCAAAGAAACATAGGTTGCATAGTTTCCCTCATTTGTAGAAATTAGAATGTGCCTATAAATCTACAAGTAATGGATGGTAAAAGACAAAAACTTACACCCAGACAAGGTAAATTAAAAAGGACTCTCAGCATTCACACAGTGAGACCAAAGAAGGATATTCTTAGGAGAAGATCACAAAGGCTCAATAGCTTTGTGCATAGGATCAAATAAAATGATGTTTATTGACGTGAACTCCCAAGAATTGGTAAAAGAGTTTTTTTGTTACTTTGCCTTTTGTTTTCATTTTTGTTTTTTGGGGGGGGGGAGGGTTCCTCCTTTGTCACATTTTTGATTTCTGTTCCTTTGGTCTTGTATGTAAGTTTACCTGTTTGGGGAAGGGTCAAGGGGAGCACGGAAATGGTGGGACAAAGGGTGAACTAATCAGCAGTGACACTCACTAGGCACTATATTGAGAATGAGCTATACAACTGGAAGGGAATGGGGGCCAGGAGGGAAGATGTGGGAGAAAATGAGGGAGGGGTGACACTGTTCAAAAAGAAATGCACTCATTACCTGACTTACATAACTGTAATCCCTCTGTGCATCACCTTTACAATGTATATTAATTAATTTCTCTTTTTTTTGCCAGTCCTGGGCTTGAACTCAAGGCCTGGGCACTGTTCCTAAGCTTCTTTTGCTCAAGGCTAGCACTCTACTACTTAAGCCACAGCACCACTTCCAGCTTTTTGTGCTTAAGTGGTACTGAGGTATTGAACCCAGGGCTTCATGCATGCTAGGCAAACACTCCACCACTGAGTCACATTCCCAGCTCATTAATTAATTTCTTTTAAAAAAAAAAGTTTCTAGATGGGCACCAGTGCCTCATGCCTATAATCCTAGCTACTCAGGAGGCTGAGATCTGAGGACTGAGGTTCAAAGACAGACCCAGCAAGAAAGTCCATGAGACTCTTATCTCCAATAAATCACCAGAAAACTAGTAGTGGTGCCATGGTTCAAGCAGTAGAGTGCTCGCCTTGAGCTGAAGAGCTCAGGGACAGCACCCAGGCCCAGAGTTCAAGCCCCACAACTGACAGACAAAAAATGTTTCTAGCAGGTTTTGCAGGAAAAATAATGCTCTGTGGTTATTTTGTATTTCAGGACAATGGTACTAAACCACTCTCAAGCAGGCAGGGATGGGATGAGGGGGGGGGCACAGAGAAATGCTAGAAAGGAAAAATGAGATTCTTTCAGAATAGAAAGGGAGAGTCGACGAACAGCATTAAAGTACTTTTGAAAGAGCCTGATTTCTGCAGATGATCTCAGACTTCAGCCCTAGCTGCACACTTGACCTGCAAGAGGCACTGCAAGCAAGGCTCATCTTCTCACCTGTAAGATGAAGGCAGTAACAGCAAACCACATCCCATCATATACACGGAGGGGTGAGGGAAGGAGAGATGATCATACATCCAAGGCCTGAATATTGCAATATGGTGCCCCCGGTCCTGACCCTATGTCTTAGACCACCTGCGGCTGTGTCTGCCTTGGATCTGGGGGACAGGGTGGGTCACAAGAAGAGGGCAGAGGTTGGAGGTGTAGTTCCATGATGGGGCGCATGTTCCCTGGCATAAATGAGCCCCTAGTTTCCATTCTCAGCACCTCAAAAAAAAAGGAAAAAGAACAGGGAAAGCATAATGGCAAGGGAATTGGACACCTGCTTGGGTCACTGTTGAGTGACAAATGATCCTCCCTGGGCAGAAGTAGCAGGAGGCAGGGCTGCATACCAACAGCTGGACGTGGGGAATGGAAATGGTGAAATGCTGCGTAATTACAGTCTCTTGCAAAAGCGTCTGCCACCCAGCTTTTCTCAGAAGCGTCTGCAGTGCCTGCTTCCGTGCACAGCACCTGGTGGGAGCCGCCGCTCCAGGATATGACTATTTTAAGTTGTTTTTCATTAAATGAAAACATCTCTTCCAGACCCAGAGTACATTTGCCCACAGATAGTGTGCTGAATCACTTTGAATGTTGCTAGTCTAGAACATTCTAGAAAAGAAAGCACCTGCTCCCCAGGTTACTTGCCTTGGTCCTAAAATGTGCTGTTTTGCCTAGGAAAGCAATGGTTATTTATGTCTTATTTCTTCCCCCAGAACATAATTGCTGAGCATGAAATTCGTAATATTTCCTGTGCTGCCCAAGACCCTGAAGACCTCTCAACGTTTGCTTATATCACAAAAGATTTGAAGTCCAATCACCACTACTGTCACGTGTTTACTGCCTTCGATGTGGTGAGTCTCACCTTCTTTGGACAGATTATTTCCCAAAGTATGCCTGGATTTTAATGAAGGCCCAACTTGTAATTCACCTGTCATCTTGGCTTGTCTGCTGTGGATTAAGGTAGAGCAAGCAAATTGGTTGGTTCATGTGGCCATAACAACATACCACATCCTGAGTAGTTTAAACAACAAAATTTATTTGATCACATTTCTGGAGGCCAGAAGTCCAAGATGAAGGAACTGGCAGGTTGGTTTCTTGTGAGAGTGCTGAAAAGAAGGCTACCTTCCTCCCTGATCCTCACATGGCCGTTCCGTTGTCCATGAATGTTTATGTCCAGAGTTTCTTGTCTTGCAAGGACATCAGTCAGATGTCCCTAGTGAGTTCCTTTTAACTCAGTGATCTCTTTTTTTTTTTTTTTTGTCGGCCATGGGGCTTGAACTCTGGGCCTGGGTGCTGTCCCTCAGCTCTTCAGCTCAAGGCGAGCGCTCTACCACTTGAGCTACAGCGCCACTTCCTGTTTTCTGGTGGTTTATTGGAGAGAAGAGTCTCACGGTCTCTCCTGCCCGGGCTGGCTTTGAACGACGATCCTCAGATCTCAGCCTCCTGAGTAGCTAGGATTACAGGCATGAGCCACCAGCGCCCGGCACTCAGTGATCTCTTTAAAGGCCCTGTCTTCAAATACCAGCACATCCTGAGATACCAGGGGTTAGAATTTCAACCTAATGGTGAGAAGTGGGGCGTGGGTCACAATTTAACCCATAACACCAAGTATAAAGTTCTTTGGCGTCCTCAACTTTTGGCTTTTTCATAATTTATGCAGGCTCAGCATTTTCCCCTCCCACCCCCATATTATACTTCTCCATTCAACTCAGCGCTGTACTCCTATCTTGGTATCTCAGCTGTCTGCACTCAACTACCTGCTTCACTTTTCAACTTGAGAAATTTCTTTCTGCCTCTGGTACCCAAGTACAGTGAAGAGCCTCTAGCCTCCTTATTTCCTTAATACCCCTGTCAGTTGTTTAGCAGCCATTTCTAAATCCAGTCATAATAGATGGGCTTGCCTCCACAATATTTACAGTTTTCTGTTTTGCATAGCCATCAAATTAGACACTTAAAAAAATAATAATTGAGAGCTCCAAGCCCTGGCCCATATGCTCATTCACAAGTGAGTCTTAAGACTTCCTTGTGATATTACACCACTGATTCTATACTTGTCATTAAGCCTAAACACTAATTTATATGTTACAAATTTAGCAAATGAAAACAGTTCAAGAAAACAACAAATGTTCCTGTAGGTATCATATGCCCTCAAGATAGCACAAATTGCCTGAAGATGTTTCTAATATAGAATACCCGGAATTATACAGGTGGACCAAACAAAACAGATATGACTGTATGTGAAATAACGTATAATCAGAAGAATCAGAAAATGCCACATTAACTTGGTTATTCTGCTCTGATCCCAGGCTGTGAAGCACAGATTTAGAGAATTAAAGAGAAGTAACAGTCATATATTTTAGGAGTCGGCCTACAGTTCAGTGTTAGGAATAAAAGGCCATTTGGAACAATCTCTTCTGGTTCTGACACATACACCATGGACCAAAGCCAGCGCCTTCCAAATTTACACCATCCTGAGGTCTGTCGCTCACATTCACGCTCATAACCTTTTTATCCTGCTGCACATTGATCAGCGCTTTAGGTTTCTAGTGATTGGAAATGAGAAAGAATGCTCATGGGCCGTTAGAAATATTCCTTCTATTTTTGGAAGCATGAGGAAAATAATGTAAAAGCAGTAGGTGGTAACAGTAAGGATGGTAAAGCAGAGCCTCCAAGGCTGCTCTAAATACTTCTGGATGTGGTTATTTGTACGAGATTGAAGTGTTGATTAAAGTAATTTCATTTAGGGTTTGTGAGATGTATTAGAATTCTGACGCCTGGCACAGAGTCTGCCATTCTTGTAAATGTTTCTTAAACAAATTTCATTCTATCCACATGTACTTTGGGTCTCGGGCTTGGTGTCATAGAACATACAGTCCACATTCACATTCCAGACTAGCTGCCTCCTCACTCCCAAATGGGAGCAAATTTGAAGACTTTCTGAATCAAGTTTTCTCATCTATAAAACAAAGATAAGATTTGTGCCCCCCACAGGTTTTTACCAGGATTGAAATGAAAGAACATTCTTGGAGAACCTAGTAAATAATAAGAGTCCCTTCTCCTTCTCTCTTCTCCTTGCCAACTGACATCAACTGGCAGCCTGTCCCTTTTATTACTAAAGAAAAAGATAGGCTTGCCAGAAGTATATTTATCATGTAGAGTTTCCCCAATGCTATTGTAAAACCTTCAAGTGAAAGTACTAAATAAGGGTAAAGTAGGCTGCTGGGCATGACACTGGTGGCTCACACCTATAATCTTAGCTACTCAGGAGGCTGAGATCTAAGGATCATAGTTTGAAGCCAGCCTGGGCCAGCTGAAAGTGGAGCTCAAATGGTAGTGTACCAGCCTTCCCCAGGCCCTGAGTTCAAGCCCCGGGATTAGAAAGAAAAAAAATATGAGGCATAGTGACAACATGCCTATAATCGCAGCATTCAAGAAGCTAAAGCAGGAAATTGGCTTACAGGAGCAAGCCTTGCTGCTTGTTAACTAAAAGAGAAACAATAGCAAGAAAGCACTGGTTCTTCAGACCCTGCTGCCTCTCAGCAGTGTTTTCACCATCATCACCATTAGTATTCCAGTGCTTTTCAGGATGATCCCCAGCATATCCTTGCACAACACAGCATTTCTTTGCATACAATTGGTTTTTAAGGTAATATATCATTTGCTTTCATGAACGTATCCAAAGTATTATTCTGTATTCAAGATAAAAGTGTAGCCATCTGCCCTATCGGTCTGATGAAAGAAGGGGGAAGAGCAAAGAAAGAAAGATGCAGGGGGAATTGTAACTCAAACTGTTTATCTTACAAGCAGCATAGGTGTCCCTGATACATGTGGAAACGTGGAGACTTGCTTCAGCTTTATCTTTTCATCCAGATGTTTGATTTAATGTAGACACTCCAGTTGAGCATTCTCATATCTGCTCTGAAGGATTTTCGTCTTACACAAATCTGCCATTTTAATCCTCTCTAGGTGAACACAGTTTGTCTAACTTCAAAAATAGCAACAAAGGCCACCAGGCTTGACCTGGGCCTTTGAGCAATTCCGAATGCAACAAGCTTTCCTTGTACTTAAAAAAATATTTTTTAAAAACTCTTTGAACAGGGATTTTGTATTTATATATAGGGCAGTTCAATATTTCAGTCCAATCTTAAAGCCTTAAACTTCTTTTGATGAATGTCAGTCTCCTGGGACACAAAAAAGGAAATATTTTGGAAGGATGGAGGGATGGAAGGAGGAAGAGAGGAAGGGAGGGACCTTTGAGCTGATAGAGATGAGTATGAAAACATTTCTAATTGCAAGCTTATTGCTTCTTCAGTCCTGTAAACCTTTTATCATCTGTGTGATTTTCATTTGTTGGGTTTTGTTTGTATGTTGCCAGTCCTGGAGCTGGAACTCAGGGCCTGGACACTGTCCCTGAGCTTTTTTAACCTAAGGCTAGCATTCTGCCACTTGAGCCACACCTCTACTTTTGGCTTTTTGGTGGTTAATTGGAGTTAAAGATCTCACAGACTTTCCTGCTCAGACTGGCTTCAAGCCACGATCCTGAGATCTCAGCCTCCTGAGTAGCTAGGATTCCAGGCGTGAGCCCTCTGGTGCTCAGTGACCTGTGTTTTTAAGTACTGCCATCATGTGGTGTGTTTTCATCTGTTCCCACCAAGAACATTCAGTGTCCAGCAAGCTTTCAGGTTATGGACAGTTAGATTTGAAACTTAGCATTTTCCTGTGGAAATTCTGTGATCTAGGAAGAACCACAAAGCTAGAATGAGTTTTAACATGGTTTTATGTACAGTGCACACTGATGCCTTGAACATGCACAGATGCAAGGAAGGCACTGGAGAGTGCTGTCTCCACATTTACCTGGCCCCAGGAGCCTTTTTCAGAGCACTTTTTGCAAGGTTGGCCTTCTGCAGAACACAATTGGCAAAATATTACACCGGATAATTCCTATACCCGTTTCCATTACTTTAGAATCTACAATAAGTTCAACTTATGATAATTTCAGTTTTAGATGACAGGGAGATGAAAATAATTCTAAAGTGAAACAGAATTGGGAATGGCAAGAACAGAATCCAGTCTGTTCCTACAGGTGAATCAAGGCTACCTTGCAATTCTAGAATTTTTGGCCGCACTATGGTCATAGCTAATTTCAATTCACATCACTCACTAGGTAAGCCTGTAGGACAAAAGGTTTCCAAGCTCCAGTGGTGTCTTGGGAGAAGAGGAAGCAGTGGGGATGATGGTAAAGAAAAATATGTTATTACCAGACCAGAAGTTACCAATGGTAAGAGTAGATTCAGCTTCCACTCCTGCACTCATTCCTTAAATGGAAGTCAGGAGATTCTGTGCAAATAGGACTGAGAGAGTGAGGGGCGCCCAGATGCTTCCTAAGACGCTAAGGGTGAGCCACACATACAACCAAGGCAGCCTGAAAACTTATCTTCCGTACTGTGTTCACTCAGTTGTTCTAGATTCTTCAGTAGTAAAGTTTCTCAGTGATAAGTATTTTTAATTGCATTTTATTGTAAAGATGCTGTGCAGAGGGGTTACAGTTACATGAGTAATGAGTATCTTTCTTGCCAATCGTTGTTACCCCCTCCTTTGTTTTTCTCCTACTATTCCTTCCTTCCCCCTCCCCCAATGTTGTAGAGTTCATTTCCAACCTAGTGTCTTATGAGTATCATTGTTGCAATGGGTCCTTGTTTCAGCATTTTGTTATTCCCCTTCCCTCCCCAAATTAGATAAATGTATTTACAAGATGTAAGGTGCCAAAAATCAAATACAGTGACAACAGGAGATATACCAGAGGGGTAAGAACATACAATAGAAACAAAAAAAAAAATCACATAGTTCATTA